CATGGTCAAGCTTGAGGGGGAGTGTTGACATGAAGGAATTACTAAGATAAGAAGAGATGACCATTGGTACGAGCGTGACCATGAAGAGCTTGACCATATGGTCAACTACAAATAAGATGACCATTGGTGCAAGCGTGACCATGAAGAGCTTGACCATATGGTCAACTACAAATAAAATGACCATTGGTGCAAGCGTGACTATGAGGAGCTTGACCAAATGGTCAACCTCAAATACGATGACCATGGGTGCAAAGCGTGACCATGAGGAAGGTGACCATATGGGCAAATTCAAAATCTCTTCTTCTGCTCTTCCCCACGTGCATTTGACCGTTGTGTACCAACTTGCATTATTTTTAATTATTTTTTTTATTTCAGGCCACTAGCCTACTTATCTTGCTGTAATGCACATTGATTTAATTAAAGAAAATATTTTCCTCCTTCTATTCTTCTTGACTCACGAAATTCTCTCTCTCTCTCTCTTATTTGTTCTTCATTCTCCAGCAACAATACTTTCTTAATCTCTAATTCTTACAGGTACGACCGGTCATGCCAGACGACCAGTATGCGTGGATTTTATGGTATCTTTCGAAGGCTAGAAATAATAAGGTTTTTTCAAATCTAAATATTGCACCAACGGAAACTATCAAGTTCGCAAAGACGGAATCGGCTTTGTGGGCGGAGGCACAAAACGAACATAGTCAACAAATACGGAAGTTTGGATTAAGGGTGGAACCGGTACTACCATCTATCTCAGGAAGATGGTGTTTTACGGACGGATCGTGGAAAGATAATGCTACCTTTTCAGGACAAGGCTGGGTAAGTACTTTGGAGGGTTTTGATAGTCTTTTGGGTGCCAGGAATACGAGAGCGGCCCAATCAGCTCTCCACTCTGAAATTGAAACTTTAATCTGGGCCATGGAGTGTATGAAGAATCTCAGGCAGTACAATGTAAATTTTGCCACAGATTGTTTACAACTGGTAGGCATGATTATGGAACCGGAGGATTGGCCAGCATTTACACCATATCTGGAGGATATTAAGGCTTTGCGACAAAGTTTTACCAGCTCAGAAGTCATCCATATTTCTCGAGTACACAATAAGAAGGCAGACAGTCTGGCACGGAGCGCCCAAAAGCAGTCGACCTTTGTATTACACATGGATGTGGAGCTGCCCAGATGGTTTACAGAGTCTACTTGAGTCTGTAGTAGGTTGATGACAAAAAAAAAAAAAAAAAATTAGATGTTCGATTCTTTGGGATTTGTTTATGTTGGTAATTATGAGTTCAAACTAACTCAGCGGATCTAAAAGCTAAAAACCCAAACCAAAAGCTGAAAATCAAAACTAAAATCTTAAAAATTAAAAACCAAAATCTAAAACCAAATCTAAAAATAAAAAATGAAACTAAAAACTAATGTAAAGCAATCATCGCCACAAATTTTGGATTACTGATTTATACCAAAACATACTTTAAATAAAGACAAAACCTAATTATATAAACTTTTAATCAAAAAAAAATTCCGCGCTTGAAAGCGCGGGTCAAAATCTAGTTATAATTACAATGTCGTTTTAAGGGAAAATTTGATTTTGGATTTTACCAAGAATTTTGGGGTCAATTTTACCTTCAACAAGTTTTAGACACAAAACAAATCATAAAATGACCATTATGATAATTGATGACTAGCCAATACATTGAAGGTAAAATCATGAAATGGTATATCATCTTAAGAGTTTACAACAACTTTGGTTCTCTTGGGTTTGTGACTTATTTAGTTTTGCCTTTACCTTTTTCTTTGCCTTGACCTTTCTTAGCGTCTAGCTTAACTTGAATCCTAGCAGCTGCAGCAGCTGCTGCAGCTTTTGCTTCTTCTCTCTTCTTCTTATCATCCTCCTTAGCAGCCGCAGCAGCTTTTGCTTCTTCTCTCTTCTTCTTATCATCCTCCTTAGCAGCCGCAGCAATCTCTCTCTGCTTCTTCAGATCTCTGCCACCATATAACCCATAATCATAAAGCAAAAAGGGTAATGGGTTTTGTATATGCACAATGTAGAGTAAGTTGTGAGGTCCATATGTATAGTCATAATGCTTACTCTAGCCTAGCTCTGTCGTCAGAAACACTTCCAACACTAGCACATTTCCTCGGTCTACAAGCAACCAATTCCACTTCGAATATCAAAGTAGCACTGCATGTCAATTACAAAAACATTAAAAACATAAATCTCTCTGTCCTTGGAACAGTTATCAACAAGTTAGGAACATAACATACTTAGGTGGGATGTCGGGATTCCGTAAGCATATTCTGGCTTACATGTAATTTTTGCAACTTCTCCAACCTGTAAAAAACAAAGATTGCTCAAATCAGTCGTCAAATGAAAAGCTCAGATTCAAGAACACAGTGTAAGTACATAACCTTCATGGTCTTAAGTGCAATGTCCCATGAACGTATAACACTGTTGTTCGAACCGAGTTCGGTCTTTTTAGTGAATGAGTGACTGGAATCGTCTGTGGTTTATTTCAAAGGCGTTATTTACTATTTTTGAGTCAAAGAGTAGTTTTATTGATGAAAGAGTTCGGTTACAAATGAGGAAATGAGAGGCGAGGCGGCGTCTCTCGAAAAGCTCAGCCGTGCCGTATAAGTCGGAAACAAAATACAAGAGTGAAAACCCTAATTCTAGCCGCCTTGTGGATAAAAGTGATTTCGGATCCCCTTTCTGTTGCCTTCTCTCTTCCTTTTATAGTGGCACCTCCTTGACCTAGCAAGCTGATCGCGTGTTCAGAGGGTTTTTCGATAAATGGGCCTTGGTCGGCCTGCTAAGGTAAATGTTATGCCTAAACGTCCTTAACTCGGCTAACCGAGAGGATTATCCGAGTTAAGCTCAATTAGTTGCTGATCACGGGAAGATTATCTCGTCGGGCTGGAGCCCGTGTGGGTGTCGAACTCATTATTTAGTGGGCCTTTCAGAGAGGAATGTTCTACCACCTACAACTGCCTGATCCTAATTCAAAGGAGAAGACAAGATTGTCTTCGCGTGTAGTGTCAAAGACATGTCCGTCTTCAGCCAGTGTACGTACCCTCATAGTTATAGTGAACTAATAAAATCAAAACAGAGTCAGAATAACTGAAAAGTCTTGTCTTTATCATCTGATGAATGTAAACCTACAATTTTGAAAATACCATCTACGACTGAGAGATCAACAGAAGGTGAAATTGAAATAGCATCAAGTTTGGCTCTCCTTACAATCTCTTTCAAGACGCCACCATCTCCACTCAAATTAATCAACTGCATCTCCCATAGCTTCAAAAATTAATTATGAGCTTAGATTGAAGGGAAGAAGGATAACGTTCTTTCGCAGGATTATCAAGCTCACCTGATTACAGGAAAGATGAGTATTCCGACCGAAGCGACTGATTAGAGACGCAGGCCCATGTTACTTTTTATTGCCTTTAGGCTAATAACGCACTCCCATTTTCGTTTTGTTATGTTAAACAATGAAGAAACGTATTATAGTAAAATGTCATCCACCATAGTTACGAGCAAAACTAAAGTACAAAAGATTCCACAAAGTGAAAATAGCAGTGGACGAAGTGTTGTCCGCATGTTGTCTTAATAGAGGATACAATAAATCAAATCAAGCATGCCAATGAACAATCAACATTTTGTATAGATGGCTGATGAAATATTTGCTTTTTGCCTATTAGCATTTGCATCTTTATAACGTAATTAATTATATATAAATCTATTATAGTATTTTTGTCTGCCGTCATTGCTCTAATATTAATATATACATTTGAAAACATGCTATTCAACGTTGCAATGATCAAACCCCTCCATATATTGAAATCTTCTGTATAATTACAATCAAATCAGGCCATTTGAATCTCTGTGTGCAAAGACATCCAGATTTTTACTTGGAAAATTTTAGCCACAATCCATATATATGTAGATATAATCATAACTAATTGAACTAATTAAAGAAACATAATATCAAACTCTTCCTTAACTAGGTTTCGTAGATCAAACTTGCTGCAACTGCCAAACTTAGGGATTACATGCTGTATATAAAGGAACTACACATTTTTAGAGATAACATAATCTGATGTGAGTAGATCTGTTAATATTGTAAATATTTTTCTTTGATATTAATTTCATCAATTTATCATTGTGCAATCCAAACAAATATGATCAACAATAATATGCAACACCAGCAATTAAAAGATAAATTAAAATGCTATGGTTTTTCGTTCTAAAAATATGGATCTAGGTCTGGCACCTTTTGTTCAAACTCATGAAATATCAGTTCTCTTTAATTTTTTACTGTATATGGAGTTGTCTTAATTACGTCTACTTGGTCTAAGTATGGAGTTTTAATTGTACACAGAATGTGTGTGTTTTCAAACTCAATAATAATATTCGTGTTCAAAAACTTCTTGCTGTACAACAAATCAGTTAATCTTCGCAGTTACAAATTTTGCACACAAATATTCATCCTTTTCAAAGCAGAGTTAGATCATAGTTCTAGTAGACACTAATGAGATTCAATTTTTTTTATAAACTCAACAAAATGTGAATAAGCATATGAGTATACATCACATCAGCATCTACTATATTAGAGAAACATAATCCGAAACTAAAGAAACATGGATACGAAAACGAGGGTTAGATTTCACATGAGTCATTTGATTAACCAATAGACAAAGGGAAGGTACAGATAAACAAATGTAACCGAGCATAAAACAACAGACATGCGTCCCTCCTTACGCAATGTCATATTTTACCAATCCCTTTTAATTCATTGTTTTATATGCGAAACCCATATCAAACAGGGACCCCATTAAATATACAGGTCTAGATATCATAGTTAAAATGACAAAAGAAAAAAGAAGCTACAAAAATGACTATAGATACTTTTTCCGCAGAAAGAAAACCCTAAAACCTTTAAGAATTTTTCACAGTCCATACATTGTGCAGCCAAAAGTACAGCGAGACTATAAAAAGTTCATATAATCAATTGAAACAATAAACGTATAGCTATTTATACCATTCATCATCGTTTCATAAAGAAAAGTTGTTCACTATTTATACCTACTTTAACAGATCTATGCAAAAACAAATATATGTGTGCTTTACTAGATATATCTGCATACCTGTGCAGTAGAACTCGTCACAAGTCATCTTATCGGACAGATCTAAAGATATGTTGCTCTGGATTTCTGGTAAATTAAACGTTTGAGTTTAAAATAATATGAAAATAAGTCATTTGATTGCCGCTGCAGCATCATCAGGATTCAAAGAAGATAGGCTCAAAGGAGAACCTATCAAAGAATATGATTTTTGAATCTTGAAGATGATGCAATAGCAAATAATGACTGCTACTACTTCATGATCTGAACCAATCATCATAAAACCAGAATAAGTAAACTAGTAAAGACTAAAGAGAAACACAAGATCTGAAGAAGTATAAAAGATTTTGGGTGAAGAAACTAGAGAAAGGGCAAAAGAGTTTAAATAGAAAAATGAGAAAGAGATCTACGGTCGAGATTTTCTTGACATATCAAAGATTTAAGAAGGAGAGAGATTAGGAAACAGTTACACATCATAATCGGAGATACCAAATATACCAAAGCTCATTAACCCTGAGGCCACACAATTAATTATAAAAGCAACAATGAGGGACAAAAAAGGAAAGCAATTGAAGAGAGTAAATTAATGAAGAAGTGGTAAAACAAGAGGTAGGAGATGCGTTGCGTAGTCTACAAGCATTAAGATTTGTGGGTCGATGTAGGAATTGACATTTTTGACAGCTCTTCCCTCTGCCCTTTGGTCACCATTTAGGGTTTAGGGTTTCCTCTCGTCTTACCATTTCTTCTTCTCTCTTTCTTTTCTCAAAATAAAAATTATATTGCGATTTTGAAAGCCTTTTTAGGGGTTTTCCACGCTTCAATGTGTTACTATGCCTTTTAAGTTTCTTCTATAAAAAGACAATTTTGCAATATGGTCTCATCGAGAGAGGCGTTCTCTAAATACACCTCCAACAATTACACCAAATTTGGTATTGAAACTACATCAAATTTTGTGTAGTAGTCATTTAATGATTTATTTCAAAAACAAAAACAATTTTTTCTATAATTTTTTAATCATGTAAAAAAAATTAAAATACAAAAATGCAATTGGCTATGATTGGTAACCTTGCGGAATGGCGTAATAGCATTTCAAACGCGATTCCGCAAGTATTTGCGGAATGAAAAAAATGCAAAAACGTAAGTTTGCGTTTTGCTGGACAAAAATATAAAAGGAAATTTTATTAAGTGGAAAATGAGTTTTAGTAGATTGTTTACAAAATCAATACTTTTTAAGAAAACCAATGTTTTCCTATTATTAAATTATATGATAATGTCATTTTAGATTTTTAAATATATAATAATAATTTTTTTAGTAATAAATAGTTATGTTGCAAATAAAATTAAACTATAATTTATTTTATGATATTATAAGATGGCAATCTATTATTAAAAACATATTGAAAATAATTTAAATATTTATAATACAAATTAAATAGATCTTAGTTATTTTCACATTTAGTAATAATTAGTTTAGTTATAGGTATTTTCTTATAATAAAATAAATACTATATGAAATATTTTAAATACTTTAATATGTATTCCGCCATTCCCCAAATTTTAAATTTTTCCACAGCTTAATTAATTTTTTCTACAGTTTAACTATTTTTTCCGCGATTCCGCGATGGTTACCAAGTGAAACCAATATGTTTATGTTGAATTAAAAATTTGATATAATTAAAATACATTATTTAATAAAATATCTATTACACTAAAATAGCACTAAAAAGTTTTTGTCATAAATTTAGCACTTATGAATAAATATGATCAAAATATCACTTAATGTTTTATCAAAAGAGATAAATACACACATATATCCTAATGATAAATTAATTTTAGATCTTAGGATTTAGAGTTAAGGGGTAGAATTTATGATTTAGGGTTTAGAGTTTAGGGTTTAGAATTTATGTTTTAGGGTTTAGAGTTGGGAAGTGAGGTTTCAGGAATAAGATTTCAATTTTTGAAAAAAAAAATTTCAAAACAAATTTCAAAAAATAAAATGATATTTTGGTCATTTTGTTTTTGAGGGCTATTTTTGTGACACTTAAATGTGTTATTTTAGAGATTTGACCGAAAATCCCTGAGTTGTTCTTATGTCCAGTTATAGGTAGTTCTGCTACTACAGTTCCTATTATCTTTGAAAGGTCTCACATCATTTTCTGTTTCTTTCTGAAAATATAAAGACGTGTCGTTGGAAATATTTTGTATTTATGCATATATGTTAGTGGTTCAGATCCTAACTTCAAATCACCCTAACACATAAAAACTTGTTTTTGGTTTGACTAGTAGACTTCGTT